TAGAATTAAAAGGCAACCTAGCGACATGATTGAAAATATTATTAAAATATTTTATTTCTCAGTTAATTTTGCAGAAAATATTTTAGAATAATTAAATTTACATTTGGATCTGCATTGAAGGCTAGGAAATCCTCTCTTCTACCTGCTTGTTGCATTGAGCCCTTGTCATCTCAGCGCACCTGTTTTTAACTGCTTCTTGAAGACTTTAATTTGTAATCTCATACAGCAGTCTTGTCGCTTGACCCATATGTCGACAATTAGCAGAACGAAAACATATGACCAGCAGGGACTGAGAGCTGTGCTAGAGTTGTTCTCCAGGCCTTCAGCTGTTCTAATGAGATGAGACTACCCATTCCAAAACCTTGCTGAAGATAAAAGTGACACGTAACTGTTGCCTGACCCTAAGTGAAAAAACTGAATCGGTATTCAAAGGTTCAGTAAAATGACTGTATCTATATCCTTGCCACTTAAGCTTTCAAAAATTCTTTGTGAACCAAGCTGATCTGTATTATACTAGCATGTGATTTTGGTTCTTAGGGGGATACATCTTTAAATTAAAAAAAAAAAAAGGCTTTTCACAGTAGCATTTGAAAATTTTTGGACTTATTCTGTAGAACAGCAGTAAGTGAAGAGAAGAAATATTAAGAATACGGCCCTGAAGGGCAGTTTTATGTCTGTCTCGTCTCACATTCTTAATCTGTGGCAACAAACAGCCTTTTCTAGGTTCCCTGACATCCCCTTTGGTATTTTTAAAAGATGATTAAGTTCCATAGGGTTAGGTGCTCCCAGTCTATTTTACAAGAACAAAGAACAAAACAGATGTCTCCAGCTGAACAGCAGAGTCTCCTGCTGTTCCTCATTGATCGGGCACAACTTAAATATCTCCATGTAATATACGGGCCATGTGTTTGCATGTATTGTCTGTGCAAACAATTATCTTTTGTGCACAGAGATGACCAGTTTATTTTAAACTGTGGAAGTAAATGCTCTAGTCCACTTCCTTCTTGTTGTTGTTTTTGGGTTTTTTGTTTTTTTTTTTCTTGCAGATGTTATGTATAATGGAGAAATGAATGAAAAGATAAAGCTATTGTATAAGCTGCATATCCCACCTGGTAAGAAATTTGAAAGAAAATGAATGCTTAACTTTCCTCTCAAATTCTTGCTTAAAACTTTTGGGAAAGGCTGCTTAATGAAAAACCTTATCTTGCTCCCTTCAGCTGGGAGCACATAGGATTTGCATGTGTAATTACGTTCACTGCAATTTAAATATCATTTCAACCAGTGCTTTTGGGGTGAACTTTTTAGATCTACAATGTTAAGATTCACATCTGCTGCAGTCTCTTGAGATGTTTTGCAGTCAATTATGTGGCTATTTCCAGACAAAATATGAATTGGAAAAACATTTCTGAATGGCTGGTACTCCATTTGCATGAGAAATCCCCTTATTACAGTTTGATCCTGTTTTGCTGAGGTGACTAAATTTTGTGTTGGTTTCTCTAATGTGCAAAGTTCTCTATTAATGTGCCATTCTTGGCAAACTTCCTACCCTTTCACTGCAGCACAGTTTTAACACAATTTTACACTACGATTTAATGAAGTACTGTCTAACAAACACTCACCCTTACCCTGTTTTGCTTTCTGCAAATGTGTAAATTTTAAAAGCATAAAAAATGATGTAGCATTTGAAGGATCAGTCACTGTATTTCTCATTTTTTTTTTTTAATAGCTCTCACAGAAAATGAGAGAGACAGCCAGTCACCATTAAAGAATCCTTTGCTGTCAACTTCAAGACCACTAGTTATTGGAAAATCAAATGGTATGTCTGAAATGGTTCTCTAGTGCATGTGCATATGAGATGACCAACTTTCCATTTGTTATCCCCATTTGCTTTTTTCCACTCTCTATGTTTAATTTTGAAATACAAATTTATTGCAGTGGACTTGATATTAACAATCAAAATATAATAAATAATGAAATTAATAATAATGTAGCAATAACAAATACCAATGAAACTAATTCTTTGTGTCTGTTCCATGCAAGGGGATGCAGTAGATTACCAAAAGCAGTTGAAGCAGATGCTTAGGGATCTAGCCAAAGAAAAGGATGCTAAAACTGAAAAGGAATTGCCAAAAATGAGTCAGGTATGTATACCAGGGGCTGACGTCAATTTGTAAAGGAGCGGAAAGAACTCAAAAACGACGTGACTAAATGCAATTGTTCAGCTGTTTTTGTGTGTGTGTGTGTGTGTGTGTGTGTGTGTGTGTGTGTGTGTGTGTGTGTGTGTAACTTAAGCCTAAACTTAGATTCAGTCTTTTAGATATCTAGGATTGGGCTGTTCTGAACCAGGGAGAAGGTATCGTGTTCACAAGCTCTCTGCTACTTTTCAGACTGGCTGGTGAATAGAAAGAATTTCATGGCATAACAGCAGATTGTTCAAGCTGAAAAAAAGTCGTCGTCTTCCTGAGCCCAGAGCATTCCTGTAAACATAGAGAATGCATGTTGCTGTTTTGCCTTTCAGGACCTGTTTTCCACCTAATCAGTAACAGCTTTCCCAGCCCATCGTAACCTAGGACTTGCCCCAGCTTAGCCATATGCTGACTAGAACTGTGTAAGACAGCTGAAGGCTCTGTCATCTTAACCATCTTCTCTAATGCTAGTAGGGCCTTGTTTATGTTGTTGACATACAAAGCCCTCTAGTATATTTCTTGTATTTGTAAGATAGATATATGTATGGATATGGAAAGGAAGAGGAGAATACACTCAAAAATCCCTTTTGTGCTGATGCTGCTAAGTAAAGTTTTAAATGGGTGACACGTGCCTAATCTTACAGCTCAGCAGGGCTACACAGTCTCTCCTAAAGCCGTCATTTGATTGAACCTCCTGAGGTCCCTTCCAAACTGAATTACTATTATTTGTATGAAAACCTAGGGCTCACAGATTTCCTAACAGGATATATAAACATTGTCTTATAGCCTGGTCGACATGTGTGATGGGTGAATGAGGGAAGGTGAAAAGGGATCGGGCAGGGAAGAGGTCTGAATGTTGTCATTAGAAGAAAATGAGTTGGGAAGAGATGGAGAAAAAGCTTGCAGGCCTTTAAGTGTACGTTTCTGTCATAATTTATTCTGAATAACAGCCATCTTAGTTTTCTACCAGTAATGTATTGTAGCCTCTCACTTGCTCTTTGTTCATCTGTGTGTTCCTAATCTCTTGTTCTAGTTAAGACAGCAAAATGCTTTTACTGTTCCCCTTTTGATATGCAGTACCAAGGTTTACTGCCATCAGTGGAGGTCAAAATCCTTTTGCTAGCTTCTATTATTTTTTTTTTAAAGCAGGTAAGTTATAAACGAGCATGACTGTATACAGCACTCTGCATTCCTTTGCAGCGCTGTGCCCTCTCCTGACTCTTGCAGTTAATGTTTTTTGTGGCTGTTCAGTAGCTTGATTTTAGTTTTTCATGCTTTCCAGAGGGAATTCATTCAATTCTGCAAAACCTTGTATAGCATGTTTCATGAAGATCCAGAGGAGAATGATTTATATCAAGCCATTGCCACTGTGACCACACTGTTACTTCAGATTGGGGAAGTAGGACAAAGAAGCATCAGCCTGGGGAGCGGCTCAGATGAATTTACTGAGGACTTGCAGCCCGAGGCCTCTGCTTCAGACCAGGATGCTGTTTTTACTGACACTGTGAAGACCCCTCACAAAGACTCTCAGTCTTCACCTGTGACTGAAGGGGGGGACTGGACTGTCTCTTTTGAACATATTTTGGCATCCCTCTTGACTGAACAGTCATTAGTTAATTTCTTTGAAAAACCCTTAGAACTGAAGCCAAAACTTGAGAATGCAAAACTAAATCAATATAGCCTCAAAACAAATGGAATGAGCTGCCAGTCACGGAGTGAACATACAAAACTGAACACGCAATAGTAGCAAATCTGTCAAAATGAAATGCACTGAAATTATGCCAAAGCACATATTGTAAAAGGCTTTCAGTCAGCAGTGTACTTTTGATAAACAATTTGGTCTGTGGTTTTCAGTTTAAGGGCTTTAAAAGCTAAAGGGTGTGTAGATTGTTTTGTGCCATTGATTTATTAATTATGTTCTTGTTTTGAATGTAAAAGGAAACATCTGTCTACAGCGTGAAGATGCAGCCCTCTTACGTACTGGGAGAGCAGAGGCTGGCTCCGTTTCTTCTTCTTCTTTTTTTTTTTTTTTTGGAACAGGGGAAAACACTTCTCAGCTACTGTCTGCAGTTTGTTTGGGTTGCCTTTTTTGCACTAATACTGAAAACTTGTTTCAATGCTGGTAATTGAAACTATTTTAATATATTTGACTGTATTCCAATTTGTATGTCTTGCTGAAATGTTAAGTGTACATGGACTGTGCTTTTGATGTTGGTCTGTGAAAACATGCACTTTTCAGTAAACCCTTTTTATACTAGAATTGCATTGACAGTATTTCTTGATTGATAGAAGGTAGGTGGCCTTATCTCTGTGTCATTAGAACAATTCCTTGAGCTAGTGCCTTCCCCATTTAATTCACTGGTCATAATCCCATCTTTCAGTGTAGCGCACAGACTTCTTACTTGGGAGGAGCCTACTGATTTTACCTAGAAGACCAGCAGGTGAGAAAATCCAGAGTGCAGTTTATTTATCTGCAAGAGAGTACAGCTATAAAGTACTGATCTAACTTATCAATGCTAGATCATCTTTTGCAAATTTGGCCTTAAAATCCCTGTGTAATGGCTCTTAATTCCCAGAGAAACAAAAGGTGGGACTCTGCCACCCACATACATAAAGAACATTTGCATCTCCTCCTCATTCCACTCACAGATAAGAGAAGTCTAAAGGATCATTAATTGAAAAAAAATTTTACCACTCTATGCAAGCCCCTCAAAAGCAAGATAGTTTAAGATCGCATCGCCTGTTCAGCTCAGTACTTCAAGGAACGAGAGCTTGAAGACACTGATTAGTAAGAAACCTTAGTCAGAATAAACACTGTTTTTACAATTTTATTGTAATGAAAATCAAGTTTAATTTTCATCCACATTGACTGTCTGTAGACCTGCAAAACAAAAAATTGTATCATCATCTATTACCAGGACAATTCCCTTTATATATAAGCTAATCTTTGCAAAAAAAAAAAATGCACCTACAATTTGAAAGCTAGTTTGTTGCTTTGTTTCTGAGAAAACAAACTACCCAGGCACGGGTTTCACCAAATATTAAAACACAGAACTTCATGTTAAATCAGTTCAGCAAATAAGATTTTTTCAGCTGACAAGCAGAAAGGCTCAACCTGTTTGAGCTTGTGACATCAGAGGATGTACTTTATATAGGAAAACATGAACCTTAAATTGTCCTAACGTGTACGATCAGCGTTTCTCATTCCTTCAAAATTCATGTGTAACATGTAACGTTCATTAAATGCTGTGTTTAGCTTTTGATGCTGATGAAGCAAGCTAGCCACCCTCTCCTCTGCAATAGAACTAGGCAGCCAGCAGTCAGACTCCCTCAACATGCTTTTCACCAGAATTTTGCAGTGCAGGAGGAACAGTCCAACTGCACTGCTTGTCCAGAAAAACATGGCATGGAGGAAGAAAGAGAGCATACAAGCTTACCTTTGAATGTTGTGACTGGTACATAGGTAACCAGAGTGTACAGCTTGTTTGGTGAATCTTCATCCTCATTGCGTTTTCTGGACAAACGCACGCGGATACGGTAAGGAACATTCCTACAATGAAGATGACATTTATATAGTTTAATTTGCAACAAAATATGTATGGGAACACTTCAGTTCATTGTAGAAAAGAAAGTAAAGGTTCTTTGCTCCATGGTTACTAACCCCCCAAATTCTTAGGCTTCAAATACTTGCACAAAGACATGATGGGTCAGGTCCGTATCTGTCTTAGCACCATAATAACTGAGAGTTGTACTGTTTGCCTTAGAGGAGCATCTACTATCTCTTTTAAAAGGTAAGCAGGTAAGAGTTAACTGAGCCCTGAAAAAAATGAGGATCCATAATCCAGCAAGAGCATCAAAAGTGGAAGCGCACAGCAGCCCACTACTGATCTTAGAAAAATGCTATGAAAAGCATGAAGATGATCAGCAAGCAGCTGTTAGTGACATGAGCTTTATACTTGAATAGAAAATACTGAGCAAGAAAAATCATCTGTTCTGAAAGCCTGTCAGAGCTCCTGTAATGCCCAGGCTGTATGCCAGAAGTCATGTGGGAATTCAAGTCACCATTACAGCAGGAGAACTAAAGTCTTATTTCTGGACATCAAAGTTTTATTTATGGCCATATGGTATCAACATTTCTTCCTCACAAAGCCTGTGGAACAACAACTAAATTACGCCAAAGGTTTTGTTCTTACAGGGAAGTCATAGCTTAGTTTCCTCCCCTTAGACTGCTTAAAATGAACTGCTGACAGAAGAAGGTACAAAACAGTCTGTCCACACCATTTTTAAAGGAGCTTCCCACCTCCAATTAGCTTAGGATTTTGGGAAACTCCTGCTCTAAGTGCTCTGTTTTGTAGAATATGAGACGGAAATTCCTCCTTGCTCTACGTTCTCAGAGCACACCTACGAAATCAGACCCCACACAAAACATTTTTATGATCACCGTAATTAAAACAAGGGAACTTGTTTCAATTCTCCCCCTTCTTTAGTGGGGTTGAAGGCATTTTTGCTACTTTGCTTATAGCACTGATCATCATGCTAGCTGACATTCTGATCTTTGCCTCTCCTAATCATTCAAGAGGAAGATGTTGCAGGTTAAATTCACTTACACTGGAAACAGACGTCGTGACTCCCTGCTCCACAGAATGTACTTCTATACATCAATATCAGGACTGAAGTCCTGGTTAGCAGCCTCACTACTAAACTCTGCAGATAGATAGGCTGCTATCTGGCTCAGTTACTCTCTTCATTGTATTTGAAATCAAACAGCTTAACAGATCACCCAACAACTAGTAATGTCTTCCCACTCTGTTAAGGAATGACTGGCCTAAGCAGACAGTTCCAGGTCGGGGTTGTGAATACTCAATATGGCTGGACTTAGACGTCTAATTCTTAGAAGACATGGGCTTGAAGTGAGGTCTCTTCATGGGGAGCCAGTTTATTACAGTTTAAGAGGTTCCACTCCTCACAATACCCTTCAGGCCATCTTCAGATGCATTAAAAAAGGCAGCTGACGTGGCATTTTAAGTTTTCTCTCTGCCCCCCAAACCACTTATCATTTGTACTTTCAAGACAAGCTTAATGGTCCTATTTAAAACACACCTCAGCATCTTGTGTAGCATTTGTCCGCTCAGATACATAACTCCATTTAGACACACTACGCAAATCCCAGGTACCAGCCTGGGACTTCAGGTACCGCTAAAACGCTAGGTTCCTAAAACAGTCTGCTCCAACGCTGAACATTACACTGCCCCAATAGTTTTGTGGCCAAGCCTTCATCCCCTCCTTCCTTTTGTTTCTTATTAGAGGAAGAGGGAAGATCTTTCAGTTTCCGAGTTTACTGGAGCTTTGCCCCAAGTGCAGCGAGGGAGCTCCGCAGAACACAAAAGAGAAGAAAAAATTAGCTTTGCTGTCAGAAGAAATCTAAACAGCCCCTGCCTTCATTCTACCCACCCGCGCATACTGTAAAAAAAGAAACATTTGCAAAGAAAATGCAAATACAACAAGGAGGATAGAAATCTTTCTACCCCTCCAGATCCTGCAGCTCTGAATACACAGGTACAATATCCTTCCTCATCCAGTAAGGAAAGTCACAAAAACGTACCTTATTCCTTTAGCCCAAACTGCTTTGTTCAATCTGGTGTCGATGCGAACGTCAGGAGTACCCATCTCCTTCATTGCAAATTTTCGGATTTCTTTCAGAGCACGCGGTGCTCGTTTCTTGAAGCCCCTAGGACAAACACAAGAGTAATTCTTTAACTTCAAGAAACTCCCAGCACTGGACACTCATTGCAGCCTTCAACCAATGTCATTCTCTAAACATACAGCCCAAGAAATTTTGTTCGTTGTTCAACAGCCTTAGCTGCATCACAGTATGACCGGACTTTTGCTGTAGTGAATATCCGCTAATCTTAATGTCTGTCCCTATCAGACACCACATACAATTATGTGGAGTAATTTCAGTAAAATTTTGCAACTCCAAGATCTCTTAGGACTCAGGACTTTTATCTAGCATGCTGACATATTAAAGAGTTCTTGCCAGTACCACCAAAGAGACGTGAGCTTTCACAGATACTCCTGAGTAGGCAGGGGCCTACGAGAAACAGTGCAACACTGGTAATGCAAACCTGAAGGAACTATGTCAGTATTACGATACATGGCAAAAGAACAAAACTGGCCCTGTTATAAATAGCAGTTTCTGATAAATATTGTTTGATAGGTACTTTATGCGCATTACCAAGATGGCATTAAAATCATGATCAAAACTGTTCTTTTGAGAGTACAGCTAGACTCGTGCTATTGATAGATTTTGCAAGACCACACATTTAGACTAAAAGCCACAGCTGCACTATAAGTGTCTTGCTGTAGCACAGTGTGTAGTGTCGCACTGTGGCATGCTACTAGTGTCACATCTGAAGTCCCACAGCAGATTACATAAAGTTTGTACACTACTTTTGATATTTAGTGCTAAAAATCAAAGGCAGGGGAGGAGAGGAAGTGATCCCAAGTGCCAGAAGCATTAAATAAGAAGTATTTCACCCCTTACACCTTATGCCCAGATACAGGAGAGAACACTGAAACAGGAACATCAGCATTAAGATGTAAATGAACTACCACAAACAGTCAATCAATAGGCAAAGCCAGAACATCTCCTTTCCATCCAAGGGTACCAGCGTCTCTCATCCTTACCCGTGGTTTTAAAACAGCCCGTCTCATCTCTCTCTTACTCTCTTGTAAGTTAACTTTAGCAATTTAGGTAATTGTTTTGCTTTGGATATAACATTCTTCCTCGTGACTATAACCATACACATTCAAAGAGCATCTAAGAGAGACAACAGTTCACAACAAGCCCTCTCAACACTTCACTGCTACAGGGTTCTTCTGAGGTTCAACACTTTGTCAGATACAGTTACTCCTATCTACACAATACTGACCAACGAATACCATTTAAGTCAAATCATACCCCAATTTACACCTCACACGATTGAGCAATAAGCAATTTGCCAAATATTCGATTACAATATTTGGTTTCTAAAAATTAAATACAGTAGACTAAATTTTAACTTCAGATAGGAAAGAATTAGGACTTAGGCACAGAGGCAAATAGGTCTAACGTCAAAATAAATCCAAGGACGCTAATGAAGGAAACAAGCTTGTTCCTGAAAGCCGTTTGCTTGTATAGATCAGTACAGGTGCAGAGCTGGCCCTTGGGGACACAGCTGCAGGACAAAGAACTAAAACATCACACATCAACACCAGTGAGGACTGTCATTCACTATAGCTTAAAACCTACTGAACCCATTACCAAATGCCCCTTTATACCAGGTTAATTTCGCTGAGTTAAGACGAGGACTTACACTCCATGGATCCGTTTGTGAATGTTGATCGTATACTCCCTAGTTACCACCTCATTGATGGCCGATCGTCCCTTCTTCTTCTCACCACCTTTCTTTGCAGGAGCCATTTGAGCAACACTGAAAAGCATGTGCGCACATGTCAAACGTAAACCCAACTTCCCTTGGTCTTTTCCCAAGGCACCCTTCCTGCCATCTTCCCTTCCTCCTTACAAGTCACAGAAATCCCACATCCAGAAATTAACCTGAGATTGAACCAACAGGTGTTGGGTCATATCACCTGCAGATTTTAAGCGGCGACACTTCAGCAGTACAAACACTTTACTCCCCTCTCCCCGTCAGGAACGTGAAACACATCTGACACCCCCCAACCACCTCCCCAG